AGGACCCACCAGCTGCCCCGCCACGCCTCTCTGCATGCAGGACCCACCAGCTGCCCCGCCATGCCTCTTTGCTGGGCCTTGGGCTGGTTTCCAGTTTCTTGCTATTATGGGCACTGCTGATATGGATGGCTTTGTACAAATGACATTTTTTCCTTCTGAAGCCAGAGCTTGCCCTGTTCCTGGGATCTCTTAGGAACTATCTGGAACCAAGAGCCTTTCATGAAGAACACAACCTTCGTGGTGTGGGACTGTGGGAAGAGCTCAGGCTTGGCCCAACAGACCTGGGCTGGAATCTGGACTCCACTCTCAGCCATTTCCGTGACCGTGGCCATGGTGTCATTTCTCTGAGCCGCAACTTCCTGACCCCTGTAAGGCGGAGGCCACCACCACCTCTCTCCCAGGGCTACCAAGAAGGACTAAATGAGATGAGTGCAAAGCACCTGGCACAGCCTGTCCATGGGAGCAAAGTCAGGCTTGCGTTCTCTTCTCTGTAAGGCTGGCTCGCAGCCTGGTCTCTGACGGGTGTAGACAGAGATTTTGCTCATTTTCTTCTAAAGATTCCTTGAAAAGCCTGTCAGTAGCTTTGTGGGAATGGTGACTGGTCTGTTGACAGCGTCCACCTGGGCTCCACACAGCCGTGCAGGCGTTTCAGGGACCCTCTGCACCCAGCAGCCAGCAGGGTCCTTTCATGTCTACCCCTGTCCCCAAGATGGCTGAGAACCCAGCAATAACTTCCTGTTGCTCCCAGAATACAGGCTCACAAGCAATGTGCAATTGTGTTGTCTGATAGTCCATTTGGTCACATGCCACTGTCTCCACTCCACAACACGGTGCTCTGAGGACAGGGACTTGGTCTGTTCTGGTCCCCATCTGGCACAGTGGAGGGGCCCAGACAAGGTCTGTTGATGTGTGGCCGGATGGCTCTGAGCTGGCCCTGCTGTGCCTGCCTCCTGCCCGCTGTGCAGAGGTCCCCTCTCTCTCCCCTCTCCCTCTCCCTCGGGCCCTCTTACCGTCTCTCAGCTCTGCGGCACACCGCCCGGCAGAAATGCAGCGCCGAGCTGATCTTGCCTCCTGACTGAAAGGAGAAAGGGGTGTTGCCTGAGCAGGGTGGGGAAGGTGTGCCCACTGCAGACGGGAGCTCCTCTGAAGTCCAGCCCTGCCCCCAAACTGGGCAGTGTTCTGCCTCCAGGAGCCCTGCCAGGGCACACCCACCGGGCACCCTGCTCCAAAGTAGGCAGGGCTGGGAGGGACCAGTGAGAACCTGGGGGGCACTGGGGGAACTGGAGGACACTGTCTGTCACTGTGAAAAGAGGGACTTATTCAGAGCCCACATATGTCTGTCACTGCCCCTGCCTGCAGCCGCCCCCCCAGTTGAGCCTGCCCGGTACCTACCGGCAGGATGAAGGCCGTGAGTGGTGGGAGCTGGCTGGTGTACTTGTCGATCCACTGCTCCAGCTCCAGGATGGGCCCCGCCTCAAACGTGGTGTACTCTGAGGAGCCAAGGAGCAGAGGGAACTGCCATGAGGCCATCACCCACCAGACCATGGCGGGAACCGCCCCCACCACCTTCCGCCTGGTGTCCCACAGGCTGCTTCTGCTGGCTCAGAAGGTACCTCCCTCCCAGGGCCTAGAAGCAAGGCTGACTGGGCCCCTGGGGGGCCTGGGCTCCCAGGTCGTAACCCCTAGGAGAGTCCCCTGACCCTAGGGCCCTCTGAACACCCACAGGAGTTTGAGAATTACTTAAGTGAGCCTCCCGGGCCGAGGAGCGGGGTGTCGCCAGGGCAGAGCCGACGTCCTGCAACAAACACTGGATCTGGGGAGCGACAGAAGGTGACAATCAGGTTCTATTCGGGATGGGTTGGACAGAGAGGGCACTGTTTCATGTGCAGAGGCACCACCTAACACGCTGGCAAAGCCCGTGACACCTAGCTCGGGAAGGGCTGTGATACGATTTGGCTGTGTCCCCACCCAAATCTCTTGTTAAACTGTGATCCCAGTGTTGGAGGTGGGGCCTGTGGGAGGTGACTGGATCAGTGGGGTGCTTTTGAATGGTTTAGCACCATCCCGCTACTGCCGTCCTGTGACAGAGTTCTCATGAGACGTGGTTGATTGAAAGCGTATAGCACCTCCCCCTTCACTCTGTCTCCTGTCAGCCACGTGAGGATGTGCCTGCTTGCCCTTTGCCTTCTGCCATGACTGTAGGTTTCCTGAGGCCTCCCCAGAAGCAGAAGCCCATATAGCCCGCAGAATTGTGTGCAGATTAAACTTTTCTTTATAAATTACCCAGTCTCAGGTAGTTCTTTATAGCAGTGCAAGAATGGACTAATACAGGCTGTCAGACCTTGAATTGGCTGACATTTGAAGGCAAAGTCTGAAACTTCAGCACATCTTCGTTGGACAACCAGCCCTGCTGAGGGGAACTGGTGTGGCTCTTTTGCAGTCTGAGGGAGGCCTGTGGTCAGAGGATGTGGACCCTGGCTGGGCACAAAGTCAGAGGTGGTACTCGCGGGTTTCACATACACAGGAGCTGTTGGACCATTGTCCTGCAGGGGCCTGGTGTCCTTGCGGCAGACAACAATAGACCACTTCTGTTCCAAGCAAACCCATCCCCACCAGGATGGAGCACAGGCCTCACCCAGCCAGGCATCCTGCTCCCGGAACCCCCGCATGCCCCGCTGACTACGTTCTCTAAGCTCTGGAGTGTCTAGAGCTTAGATACCACTATCATATTTGACGTCTTGGCCCAACTATTACAGGTTAGAAAACCAAAGCTGTCAAATGCTGAGAAAGGAAGAAAACCTCACAGGGCCTAGATGCACAGGAGACGTGGGCAGAGCCGAGATGGTTCCTCTTGACAGTCCCTGGGCATGTGACTCAAGTTGTCTGCTTAACCCAGCTGCTGCCCCCACGGGAGCCTTTTCCTCCCTCAGTAGTAGGTGGGGCTGCCAAGGCTGGGGCTGCAGGAGGATGCTGGGCTCCAGGAGGGTAAAGGTCTGTACCTCTGACCTCTCCTAGGATGGCCACTGTGACAGCATTCAGGAAGCAGGCCACACTGTGTGACAGCAGAGGCTGCCCATCCAGCACTGGGTGGGAACCTTCCCAGGACTGCTGACCAGCTGACCTTGGGCAAGCTGCTTCCCTGCTTGGGGTCTCTGCGCCTTCACAGTCAAAGCAGGAGTGATGATAATACCCACTTGGTTGGCCAAAAGCAGCGTGTACCCCAGGGCCTGGGGAGAATTGGCAACAGTTTGGGGATCAGATTCCAGCTCCACTGACGCCTGGCTGTGGGGGCTGGGCAAGTCAGCCTCTCTGAGGCTCAGTTTGGCTCCCTAGAAACTGTGGACATTGACTTCCACCTCATAGGCATGTGTGAGGGTGAAATGGGTGACATGAGGAGAGCAGCAGCATGCTGCCTGGCCTCATCCACAGGCCCTGCAAGTGCTACCGGGCCAGGTGGGCCCCCAGGTGACCCAGACACAGTCCCCGCCCTCACCTTGCCTAGGCTGGGTGGGAGGCAGATGGGTTAACAGGTTAACACCCCTTGTGATGCCTGTGGTTAGAGGATGTGGAAACCCAAGGGCACTCCGAACCCAGCTGGAGGTGATGGGGCAGCTGAGACCCAAAGCATGCAGCAGCATGCATGGTCCCTCCCTCCACCACATAGAATGTTCTGGCCGCTGAGGCTTCCCATCCTCCTGCAGCCCCAGCCTTGGCAGCCCCACCTACTCCTCTCCATCTGCTCCCAGGGACCTGAGAGGGCTCCAACCTGGGCTTCAGAACTGAAGTGGGAAGGGCTGACTCTGCAGGGAGGTTTCTGAGGACCCGGCTCCCTGTGAGATAGAAACTGCAGCACCCCACGTGTTCAGGGGTGGCGACCAAGTCTCTGCGCTTTAAGTTCTGTGTGGGTCACAGGCCCCCTCCTTCTCAGAGAACAGAACAGTGACACCATGAAGCAGGAGTCCCACCGGCTGAGGGCTGACTGCAGCTGGGCCTCCCTGGGTTCCATCTGCGTTGGGCGCTTCACACCGGCTTCCTCAGCCTCCGTGCTACTGCCATTCATGGCCGGGGCATTCGTTGTTGACAGGGGCTGTCCCGTACATTGCAGGATATTTAGATGCCAGCAACACCCCAACCCCCAGATGTGGCAACCAAAAATGTCTCCAGACACTGCAGACGGGGCCCAGAATGGCAGAATCACCCTGGGTTGAGAATCGCTGCATTTTAAATTCCCTCACTTAGCACCATCCCCACCACGTGCCTGTGAAGGAAGATTATATGTCTCCAATTGTTTGTTTGTTTTGGAGACAGAGTCTTTTTTTTTTTTTAGACAGGATCCCACTCTGTTGCCCAGGCTAGAGTGCAGTGGTGTGATCATAGCTTGTGGCAGCCTCAACCTGTTGAGACTCAAGCGATTCTCCCACCTCAGCCTCCGAAGTAGCTGGGACTACAGGTGTGTACCACCATAGCTGGCAAATTTTTTGAATTTTCTTTGTAGAAACAGGGTCTCCCTATGTTGCCCAGGTTGGTCTTGAACTCCTGGCTTGATGTGATCTTCCCACCTTGGCCTCCCAAAGTGCTGGGATTACAGGCCTGAACCATGCTCGGCCTGTGCAGTGGCATGATCACAGCTCACTGCAGCCTTGACCTCCTGGGCTCAAGAGATCTTCCTACTTCAGCATCCCGAGCAGCTGAGGCTATAGACACTCACCACCATGCCTGGCTAATTTTTAAATCTTATGTAGAGTCGGGGTCTCACTACATTACCCAGGCTCCTGGCCTCAAGTGACCTTCCTGCCTCAGCCTCCCAAGTGGCTGAGATTGCAGGTATGAGCCACCATACCCAGCCTGTCCCCATTTTACAGATGAAGAAACGGAGCTCACGGAGGGAGAGTGATTAGCCCCGCTGAGTCCAGTGGGGGCCACCAGGGATCAGATCCCCAGCTCGGGGTGAGACGGTGTTACTCACTTTCCGAAGCTCTTCAGCAAATGTGTGGCCCTTTTCTGTGACTAATTCCAGAGCAAACCTATGAAGAAAAAGGAAAAAGAATTTGCCTCTAATGTAATGTCCCTAGGCCCTGTCTGGCCGTAAACAACAGATTCTCAGGTGGTAGGCCATTTAGTTAATTTCACTGTAATAGCCACATTATTTTTCTTGCTGATAATAAGAACATTACAGCCTTCCATTTGGGGGTGTGGTATTTGTTTCTTGAAATGCCTTTTCTGACACTCATTATTTCCAGCCAACAATTTCTTTTTGAACAGCTACTCTGGCCAGGCCCAAGAGAGTCAGTGGTGAACAGAAGCTGACCCAGGCTCTATCCAGCAAGCTGGTGACAGGGTGAGCAGTGACAGCCTCAAATGCTGGATCCTGAGATCTGACCCGTGGCCCTGTGGTTGGTTGTAGGTGTGTAGGAGCTGGACAGACCCAGCTGCAAATTCTACACTGCTGCTGACTGTCTCTGAGGCTTCAGGCAAAGTTTGCACCTTCACGTTGAGGAGTGTGATATTCAGGAGTGTGATATCTAATCAGATTAGATATCACACTCCTGAATGTGAAAGTGCAAACTGAGGTCAGTGCTCTGAAGGAAAGAAGAAGCCAAGCCTAATCTGACCTTGGCTAGAGAGGCAAGGACGGCTTCCTGGAGGAGGTGATGCTGGAGGGGAGACTTTGAAGGCTGGGGAGGACTTCCCTCATACAGAAGGGAAAGCAAACTGCTCCTGACACAGGTCAGGACCCTTGTTCTGCCTCCCTTAGAACCCTGCACTTCCCGCCTGCATGGGTCAGTGCCCCGGCAGGAGACAGCTGCATGCTGCAAAAATTCCTGGAGGAGGGCTTTGGGAAGGGACAATTCACGGAAGTGTGGGCGGAGTTACAGGAATTGGCGATAGACGGCAAACACAGGAGCCTGAAGCACAGGGGACAGGGAAGGTGCTACTCACCCTGGAGGGAGCTGGATTCTGGAGTCACTCAGCAGGGAGGGAGTTAGGTAGGGAGCCCAGCTGCCACCAGAGCCATGCACCACTGGGGACAGGGTCACACACACTCCTGAGCTCTCTCCACTCACTCTCCCATCACCCGCTGGTGCCTCCCATTGGCTGGACCCACCCAAATGCCACAAGACCAAGGAATCGAGATGGCATAGCCACCAGGTGATAAGGTGGTGTAATAAGGTAATATGCAGCCTCCTACACATAAAGAGAAGGTGAAGAGAAGGGATTTGAAAGGGCCATTGGAGAATAACCAGCCCATCTTCCTGGCACATCTTACAATTAGAAGTAAACACACTAGTGTGATCCTGCCTGGTGTGTTTTGATCCTTCCTCTGGACCAAAGGAAGGGCTGTGCAGGCTGGGATGCAGTCTGTCTCCATCACAGCAGATACCCCATGCCTGGCTCACAGGAGGTGTGCAGAAGTATCTGCTTGCCAAGGGACGCTCTGTGACCAGCCCAGCGGCAGGACCCCTCAGTGCTTGCCCCATGCCCGCTCCCACCCTCCTAGCTGCCCAGTGAGTGCTGCCTGCTGCCTGCTCCCTGCACTCTGCAGCTCAGGAAGGCAGGGCTGAGGTTCTCTGTTGAACAGTACCTAATACTGCAGATGCTTGGTCAATATCTGACAAAGGAAGAATCCACAGCTGAGGTTTCCCTGACCTCCTGCTCCTTCTCAACTGAGAGACCAGGGCTTGTGATTTAGAGCTCATCAGAATGGCTGATGGGAAAACTGGCCTTTTCTCCCTTTGCCCACTTGGTCTTGTGTCTGTCCCCTTCCGGACCCTTCCCCCACACACCAAGGGGTTTGTTTGCCTTCTCTACCCGGCTAGCAGACTATCTATACCTCCCATTATCTGTCCTGAAAATCTCACCTCGTCAGGCCCGCCATGGAGACACAGTAGCCAGGAACAGGTAAGTGTTAAGAATGATAGCTAACATTATTATTACTTGTGCTAGATGCTGTCCTCAGGGTGGAACATGGAATCATCTCATTTAAGCCCCGCAGGAACACAGTGTGATGGGAATTATCATGATAATCACTTGGTAGAACAGTAAACTGAGGCTCACAGAGGCCATGTGATTTGCCTGACGTCCCAGAGATAGTCAGCAGTGATGCTGAACTTGCAGTGGGGTCTGTCTGGTTCTCACGCACATATAACCCACCAGGCCTTGGGGTCAAACCTCAGGATCCAGCACTTGAGACTGTTGCTGCTTCCCCTGTCACCAGCTTGCAGGGTGTGCTGGGCAGACTGTGCTCCTGTTTGCAAATATTTGCCACTCTTCCCACCCTGCTGATGTCAGGTATATGCACGTGACAGGCTCTGGCCACTGAAATGTGAATACATGGAAGGCATCACTCTCGTGGAAGGTTTTTTCTTCTGGAGACAGAGTCATACTCTGTCACCCAGACTAGAGTACAGTGGCACAATCATAGCTCACTGCAGCCTCAACTCCCCAGACTCAATTGATCCTCCTGCCTCAGCCTTGTGAGTAGCTGGGACTACAGCTGTGCACCACCACACCTGGCTAATTTTTTTATTTTTCTTTTTAGTAGAGACAAGGTCTTGCTATGTTGCCCAGGCTGGTCTCAAACTCCTGAGCTCAAGTGATCCTCCCACTTCAGCCTCCCAAAGCGCTGGGATTAGACATGTGAGCCACTGTACTGAGTCTTTTTTTTTTTTTTTCAACTTTTATTTACCAACAAAGTTCAGTTTCCATAAAGACTGTCAAAAACTGCCAATGTTGACTGTATGTCAAGTCATCATGGTCGGGTGGTGAGAAAAGTTTTCAATCAGCAATGATCACACCTTGGGTAAACCTCGTTGGCAACAATACTGCCACCGCACAATCCCCTGGCCACAAGGAGCCACTGTGAGCTTCACTATGACCTGTTTTCCCTCTGCCATGATGACAGATAATTATCCCAGACAGCGGCTGCCCTGGCAGAGTGAAGGCCACATGCAGCCAAAGCACCTCCCCCTTGTGACAGGCGTGAAGTAGGAGCAGCAAGTCCACCACTGGTGTCACAAGCCAGGAGATCTGAGGGCTGTTTGTGTCCATAGCACAACCTGGCCCATCCTGACCAATTCCTTGAGTCCACCTTCTAAACGCTGGCTTATTTAAAAACCAACAATCACAAAAGAGATCACATTGGATGTCCTGTGCATTGTACTAACTCATCTCTTTCACTCAGTATACTAACTTCAGTGGCACACACAGGCTCACCTGAAAAGCAGGGTATGAGAGGGAGGCAGCTTCACATGGCATGGGACACAGGCCGGCGCAGGCACAGGCAGGGCCAGGAGGGAAAGGGGTCTGCAGACCCGCAGCCTTGTGGAGCTGACCAGCCTGTGCTTCAGGGCTGGGGGAAGTTCAGTAAGGACTGACAACCTCCGAGGCCGCTGCCCAGCACATGTGACAGCTTCACATTCATTACGTTTATTCGTACTCAGTTCAAACTCAACCTCAAGGCCAATCCTGTCCTCCTTACCCAATAGCTGAGCTTAATTCATCTGTAGTTCCCACGGCTTCAAACACCTCGTCATCTTTGGGTCTCCTTTCTCCCGTGAAGGTGCTAGAAAACCCTGTGGAAAAAAAGTGTTTAGCCACCCAAATTAAGATCCTGTTTTCCTGATATGCCAGGGGGTTTTTTGTTTTCTTTTGTTTTTAACTTTCAAAGCTTTTAAAGAACATTTTCAGTCTTTTTTTGAATGGTCACTCTGTTGTCCAGGCTGGAGTACAGTGGCATGATCATGGCCCACTGCAACCTCTGCTTCCCAGGTTCAAGTGATTCTTGTGCCTCAGTCTCCCAAGTAGTTGGGATTACAAGTGTGTACCACCATGCCCTGCTAACTTTTTATATTTTTAGTAGGGATGGGTTTTTGCCATGTTGGCTAGGCTGGTCCTGAACTCCTGGCCTCAAGTGATTCACCCACCTCAGCCTCCCAAAGTGCTGAGATTACAGGTATGAGCCACCGCACCAGCCCTTAAAGAATTTTCAAGTTGAAGTATAGAATATACACAGAAAAGTGCTCAAATTCTAAGTATGTGAGTTGGTGAAGTGCTACTAACTGAATATACCTCCGTGGTCAACACCTAGCTTAATAAACAGAACATGACCAACACCCTGAAATCTCCCATGCACCCCTTTCAGTTGCCACTCCCCAAGGGTTAACCACTATCCTCACTTCTTTCCCGACATGCTTTTATTTTAAACTTAAAAATCACACTATGGGAGGCTGAGGCAGAAGAACTGCTTGAACCCGGGAGGTGGAGGTTGCAGTGAACAGATATCGTGCCACTGCACTCCAGCCCGGGTGACAGAGCAAGACTCCATCTCAAAAAAAAAAAAATCACCATCCTGATAAAGAAATAAAACATATGTGTTATATATTTTATATCATATGTACATTACTATTATATGTCACATGAAGTCAAAGTCCTCTGTACCTCTGCCTAGCTCACAATCCCTGCCTTTCTCCCACAACCTCTCAGAAAGTAAAAGCTGCCCCTGACAGGTGGGAGCTGGCTTTTGCTATCAAGCAGGCTTTGGGGTTGCCAGGTGCTGGCCTGGCACTCACAGGTAGACTGTGGTGTTCTGCTGAACACAAACCATTTCACAGGACACTGTCAGACGGGCCGCCCTATGAGTGTCATGGTTCAAAACCAAAACAAGGCCACTCTGGAATAACGTCTGAGCATAGATGACTGTCCAAACTCCGAAAGATGACCAAACCTCCCTCTTCCCTGGCCAATGTGAGTGACTGCTGCATCTTTATCCATTACAGCTTTAGCACCTCTTTGTCCCTTCTGGCTTCTAGAAAAAAATTAAGATACCAATTACAGACCAGGTACAGTGGCTCACACCTGTAATTCCAGGACTTTAGGAGGCCATGGCAGGCAGATCACTTGAGGCCAGGAGTTCAAGACCAGCTTGGCCAACATGGTGAAACCTCATCTCTACCAAAAATAGAAAACATTAGCCAGGCATGGTGGCGCACACCTGTAGTCCCAGCTGTTTGGGAGGCTGAGGCACAAGAAACATTTGAACCTGGGAGGCGGAGGTTGCAGTGAGCCAAGATTGTGCCACTGCCCTCCAGCCTGGGCAACAGAGTGAGACCCTGTCTTAAAAAACAAACAAAAAAAGATACCCAATTACAGAAATAGCCCTGCTTCCTAACAGGATTCGATCCAGAGCAAAGCCCCACTTCCTGGAATCCTCCCTGAAAGCACCCAACACAAACCCAACCCTATAATAAGTCCTTTCCAGCATCCTCTTTCTTCTTTTTAATTGTGGTAATAGATGATACATAACAGAAATTTTACATTTTGACTCTTTTTAATTTTACCATTCAGTGACATTGGGTATGTCCTGTGCATGCTTTTATACGTTTACTATACAAGCATATATCCAAAAAACAATATGAACTAGTGATCTGCATGTTTTTATACTTCAAAAAATGGTATACTGGCTGAGTGCGGTAGCTCATGCCTCCTGTAATCCCAGCACATTGGGGGGCTGAGGTGGGAGGATAGCTTGAGCCCAGCAGTTCGAGACCAGCCTGGGCAACATAGCAAGACCTTATCTCTACAAAAAAATTAAAAAGTATTAGCCAGGCATGGTGATGTATGCCTGTTGCCCCAGAAACTCAGAAGGCTGAGGTGCGAGGATTGTTTGAGTCTGAAAGTTGGAGGCTGTAGTGAGCCGTGACTGTGTCACTGCACTCCAGCCTGGGTGACAGAGTGAAACTCTGTCTCAAAAAAAGAAAAACTATCATACTAACACATTCTTCTGCATCTTTTTTCTATAGAACCTCATGTTCTAGCATTTAAAAAATGATTAAAGTAATATACACTCATTATAGGGCCGGGCGAGGTGGCTCACACCTGTAATCCCAGCACTTTGAGAGGCTGAGGTGGGCGGATCACAAGGTCAGGAGATCGAGACCATCCTGGCTAACACGGTAAAACCCCCATCTCTACCAAAAATACAAAAAATTACTCGGGCACGGTGGCGGGTGCCTGCGGTCCCAGCTACTTGGGGTGCTGACGCAGAATTGCTTGAATGTGGAAGGTGGAGGTTACAGTGAGCCAAGAGACTGTGCCACCGCACTCCAGCCCGATGACAGGGTGAAACTCCGTCTCAAAAAAAAAGAGAGTAATATATACTCATTATAAAAAATAATACAATAGAATAAAAGTATGTAGATAGCGAAAGTCCTTCTGTTCGTTCCCCTCTCACAACTTAATGTCCCCGCCAGGAACAGTCCCAGGTGTAACCCTTCAGAGACTATTCGACACATATCTGAACACACATATATGCACATGCTTATCCAGATAGATTCAGGCTTTTGTCATTTAATATATCTTGGGTGTTTTTCATTTCACATTACATTTTCGTAATGTATATTAAGTTGAAATCTGTCATATATTACACTTTTTTTTTTTTTTGAGACACAGTCTTGTTCTGTCACCCATGCTGGAGTGCAGTGTCACAATCTTGGCTCACTGTAACTTCTGCCTCCCGAGTTCAAGCAATTCTCCTGCCTCAGCCTCCCAAGTAGCTGGGACTACAGGCATGCGCCACCATGTCCACCTAATTTTTGTATTTTTAGTAGACATGGGGTTTCACCACATTGGCCAGGCTGGTCTCAAACTCCTGGCCTCAGGTGATCTGCCCACTGGGCCTCCCACAGTGCCAGGATTACAAGCATGAGTCACCTCGCCTGGCCACATATTATACTTTTCAGTGGCTGCAAATAATTTGGAAGAACTTTAAAATGGGGTATGCCATGTGTATTTCTTTGCATTTTTCACCTGTCCCCACCCTACCTTTGTCTCCTGTTTTGGTGTAAATCTTGGGGATCCTGGGTGTCCTCGAGGAAGGCTGGGGCCTACAGAGAAATAGATATCAATAGGTGGTAAGTGGGGATGGCTTACACAGAGGGTCAGCTCCTCAGTGGGTCCCAGCTCGCTGCTTGTAACCTCAGAGGCACCACTTACCCCTTGCTGCTTAGATGGTAATCTCTTGTTGATTTCTTTCCCCTAGATCCCTTCTAATAGCAAACATTTTGTGGGCAAGACACAGAGCTGGGTGACAGAGCATGTAGAGTAGTGATGTAATGTCTTGATCAACGTAAATGATCAATAAATATTTGCTGAAGGAATTCATTGATCATTTGCCACTGTTCCTGCACTGTGCCAAGTAGTTTACAGGCATTATCTTCTGGAATTATCCCTGGAATCTTTCCACAACCCCAAAGGTAACCACCACCTATTATCTTCACTTTACTGAGAAGGAAACTGTATCTTAGATGAGACTCACCTTCCTAGGTCACCCAGGAAGAGGCAGGAGTGGGATGCCAAAGGCTGTCCTAGGCTGGAACACAAACTTTAACTTCTATCCTACTGAAATTCTCTCTCTCTTTCTTTCTTTTCCCTCTCTCTCTCTCTCTGTCTCTCTTTTTTTCTTCTTATGACTGAGATCAGGTCGTACTCTGTCACCCAGGCTGGAGTGCAGTGGCACAATCTAGGTTCACTACAACCTCTGCCTCCCAGGCTCAAGCAATCCTCCCACCTCAACCTCCCCAGTAGCTGTGACCACATGTGTGTACCACCATGCCCAGCTAATTTTTTTTTTTTCTTTTTTGGTAGAGACAGGTTTCGTCATGTTCCCCAGGCTGGTCTTGAACTCCTGAGCTCAAGCAATATGCCTGCCTCAATCTCCCGAAGTGCTGTGACTACAGGCATGAGCCACCATTGTCTGGCCTATGATTATTTTGTTAACAGACAGGGTCTTGGTCTCTTGCCTAAGCTGAAATGCAGTGCAGTAGTATGATCATAGCTCACTGCAGCCTTGAACTCCTGGGCTCAAGTGATCCTCCTGCCTCAGCCTCCCAAGTAGCTAGGACTCTTAACTCTACCCTACCCAAATTCTTATCTTATACTCCATCAACTCAGGGCCTCCTGCAGGGAAAGAAACCTGGGCCACTTCCATACTATGAGGCTACGAGTGTACTCAGAGATGACCTGGCAAAACAGAGCTCAAAAAGTGGCACTTTCAAATAACAAAAATAACAATGTAAACGACTCAAGGACATTGCTCAATATTAAAATGTGACATTATAAGGCCATTCGAAGGTTAAGTTCCTGGAACTGTGGACTAAATTAATCCATTATTAATCCACGGTACTCTAGAGGTTCTGAGATCTGGGTTGGGGTGCAAGTTTCAAGGTATATGAGGAAAGCCATCTTTAGAAGGGGCTGGTGTATCTGGGACCTAGGGGATAAACTGCTTTGGAGATTGGTCACAATCTGAGTCGAGAGCCCTCCTGGCCCACATGGGATCTTCTCTGCCCTTTCGGATGATATTGGGGCTTCATTGGGACTTAGGCAAAGATTTTCTGCTCTCTGGCATCCACGTGGCCCATGTTGCCATGGTGACGTCACGACAGCGTGGAGACGTCACCTGACGGTTGCCGTTGTGACCTCACGGCGGTGTGACGTACCCATGGCGACGACACCTCGATTCACGGCAAGTGTTTGAGTTACCCTTCCCGCCAGCCACTCACCTGTCCCCGTCTTCCACGCCCTGAGGGCCGCGGCTCTGGAAACGGGGATGCAGAAGCCTGGCGGCGCCGAGGCACCTACGCAGGCCAAGACGGCTCCCCAGGCCCCACACAACCATGATCCAGGCTGCCTGACAGACCTGACCCCGCCACCTTCCCGTCCAGGCCCCGGGGTGACTCCACCCACAGCCGGCCGCGCCACCGCTCAGCTGTCAATTTTCATTGGTTCGCCGTTCTCGCCCCAGGGCGGGACACTGCCAGGGACTTGATTCCCATTGGTTTAACAGCAGGAGAGGGGCGGGAAAACCTGTGTTGCTGGACTGCAACACTTATTGACCAATGTTCAAACCTATTAGTAAAGGAACTCCGGGCTCGCGCGCTCTGATTGGCTGGACTGAAGGACAAGACCTCCTCCCCTTGGGGCACTGCCGCTCTGAGCTGCAGGTGTTGGGGTGCTGCTCCGGCTACGGCGCGGTGGGACGGCGGCCGGGGTGGCGGCGGCAGCAGGTGAGAGCTGGGGTCGCGAGGCCGGGTGGCGCGAGGTCCTAGACCCGGGTCGACTGTGAGCCAGGCGCCCAGCTTCTGTGGCTCAGTTTCCCCAGCTCTGAGTCTGTCCCGAGGGTCGGGGATCTCAATCTGACAGTCATGATTCTGAGCTTGGGGCAAGCAAGCAAGGGGATTCTCCGCTCTGTGCCTCAGTTTTTCTCTTTAAGAAATGGGGATCTTGATAGTACTTAGCTCATAGTGCACTTGGATCTTAGGGTAAAATAATTTACGTAAAGCCTTAATCGGAGGATAATTTTGCCTTATTTATAAATGTGTAAATTGCACACACCTGTAGACCCTGCAAGCCCCTTTCTAGGACTTTGTCCTGCAGAAATACTTAAGTGTGCAAAACGAGGCTTGCCGGGAGTTTTCTGCAGCCTTGTTTATAATTGTGACACATTGGAAACAACCTAAATGTCCAGCAAAGAATTCATTCTGGTCCATGATTTCATGTAAATTTCTACGTTTAATGGTAGTAGTTGTAAAAGCTGAAATGAATAACAAAGCCAGTAATAAGCAGCTCTCAGTAACTGAATGATTAGTAGGTGCCAGACACTGTTAAGCGTTTACCTTGCACTAATTTAACCTTCCTAACAATCACTGAGGTAGGTATGGTTATTTTCTCTCCATATAACGTGTGGGAAAGCCGAGATTCATAGCCATTTAAGTGAGTTACCTAAGATGACATCACTGGGGAGTGGAAGAGCTGAGATTTGAACCCCGATCTATTGGATGGGTCCAGTTGACTGCTGCATTGCCTTTCTGGCACATAGCAGGTGCTGGACCGTAAGTACCTTTTTTGTTATTATGATGGACTTGAACTAGGTTTTCTCTAAGATCTCTTCCAGCTGGTTCTGACATCTGGAGATCTTTGCTATTCTCAATGGCTTTCCCTTTTAGGATTCCCAGGAGCCATGTTGTCAGAAGTCCTACTGGTGTCTGCTCCGGGGAAAGTCATCCTTCATGGAGAACATGCCGTGGTACATGGCAAGGTAAAAAGCCGTTAGAGCAAGGCCAGGTGCGGCGGCTCATGCCTGTAATCCCAGTACTTTGGGAGGCCAAGGCGAGCGGATCGCAAGATCAAGAGATCGAGACCCTCCTGGTCAACGTGGTGAAACCCCGTCTCTACTAAAAATACACAAATTAGCCAGGTGTGGTGGTGGGCTCCTATAGTCCCAGCTACTCAGGAGGCTGAGGCAGGATAATTGCTTGAACCCGGGAGGTGGAGGTTGCAGTGAGCCGAGATCACACCACTGTACTACAGGCCTGGTGACAGAGGGAGACCCCTATCCCTCGTCTCAAAAAAAAATAAAAAGCTGTTAGAGCCTTTAAGGATTGGGTACCCCTTTTCCCTGATGCTAATTTTGCAAGAAGGTAAAAGGACACTCTGAGGTACAGGTTGGGAGCAGATCAGAGGGATCAGTTTCTCCCCAGCCAGACAAGAAAAACGTATCTTCTGCCCACTGAAAGGATTCTCTGGCCTCGCTTAGTATGATAGCAAAAGGATGATATATAAAGCCCTGTGAATGGAATGAGAGAACCTAGGAGTGAGCTTTGATGCAGAAGGAAAGAGGTTTGAGAGCTAAGCTCTGAGGCACTAAGACATTTAGAAGTTGGAAGGATCTAGCAAAAGACTAAAAACATACATGAGCTCATTTTACCCTTACAACTATCCCCTGAAGCATACCCTTTTATTGTCCTGTTTTACGAGTATGCAAACTGAGGCTTAGGAGAGAAGTGGTAACTTTTTTTTTTTTCCTAACCAGTGTCAGGTGATACTAGAGAAGTGGTAACTTGATCCAAGTCCTACACATCCTTGGTAGAGCTTGGTGTGAACCTCTGTCTGAACCCACCCCTACTGCACTCTGCTATTCTTTTTATTTTTCCCTAAGACAGTCTTGCTCTGTCTCTCAGTCTGGAGTGCAATCTTGCAGTGGCTCACTGCAGCCTCCAACCTCAGCTGCCGAGTAACTGGGACCACAGGTGTGTACCACCTCGCTCCACTAATTTTATTTTTTCTTTTCTTTTCTTTCTT